ACCTCGAAATTGCAGAGCCAACGACTATTATTACACGCCGCGATGACAACAATGTTGTAGAAGTATAAAGTACGGTGTACTAGCACGTGAAAGAACCGTGTGCTCGAGCATTTTTTGACGATCCTAACTGAGAAGATTACACGTTCCACTGGGGATTTACCTACGTAATGTATTCGCCGTGTGTCACGACCGAGAGGCACGCTAAGAGAATTCCAAAATCTCTCGTCGTCCATTTCTCCACCAACATTCGGAGAATGAAGAACGTTGAGTTTCCATTTCTTCGAAACGTTGACGCTTGACTGTTCTCCAGAGAAGATAGAAACAACCCGCTGGATCTGTAAATAGAATCGTCGGCCTACTGGCCTGATATATTCTCTCGGCGTCGCCTATTCGGCGCGTTCTCCTGCTTAAAGTTTTTGACAGGCCCCGACAGGGCAAATTACACGTTTCGTGGCCGGAACGTTGCGTGCTCGCCACGGGAACCCGGTAGGATGTGGTTACAGCTACTATTATTATTAAACTATTACTAAGAAAACCGGTGCAGAGGAGCGGATATCTCGTTGTCAGCCGCGACGCGACGCGACTCACTCGCCGGTACAAAGGAGCCATCGTAATTGCGCCTCGTTTCTACGAGTTTGCGTTCCAACGATGCAATTTACCTGGATGGAAAAATGAGTGAGCGCGAGTAGCGCGTTCGTTCGTTATGTTGACCTACTATATATGTACCACTATGTTCACGGTTGGAACAAAGAAAAGGCAGATCGCTTGGAAAATCGTAGAATCGTTGCAACGTACAGGAATTCTCAGTGTGTTTGCGCGAGAACGACAGGCATTTCGAATCCCAAAGGATCGTAACTCTGTCACGCGCGACTATTCAGGCTCGTTTCTTATTACGAGAAAACCACACGGCGCTGGCACACCCACCATAACGAATTTAATTTAACGCACGCTTTAAAGATCGTGAGTTCCTGGTGCATACTCGAGGAGACTCGATAGCACGCTCTTTTACATCCAATTTATTTAACATTAAACGCGCGAGCTGTTTATGATTCGAGCTGGCCGCGAAATGTCTGCCGAATTCGTATCCTCCGCGTCTTGTCATCTAGTCGTCATGGTTGTTAGCCACGTGGTTGTTATTACCATTTGTCATCCGCTCCATTTCGACCGATCGTTCGTTAAGAGGCCAGCCTCTCAAAACGATCGCGTATTATCACTTTTTACATACGATCGCTATGCATCGCGGTGTGCATTATCTAACGACGGCGGTGTATACTTTCGCTCGTTGCAAAATCGTTTCGCCGCATTTTGCAATCGTCGAACCGTCGGAATGCGCGTAGACCGGGCATAAGAACGCGTGGATCCAGCCGACTCGTGGTGAGCGTTGGTTCGCGATCCAGGATCATCCGCTCCGCGATCAAGCGGCAACGCCGGGGAGGAAAAATCGATTCTTTCGATTGTCCTTCCCTTCTATCCTGCCGAACCGTCGTGTGTCGGATCGAGAATTCACGCGATATTTTTGACTAACTTTTGACTCATAAAACACGTCGCAATGAAATTTGACATAAATATTTATAAAAAATATTTGAATTTTTCCAATGATATACAACATGATATATTTCTTGTCCTTGGGTTAGTCACTGTTCTGTTTGACTTTATAAACAAATTTGTCAAATTGTTTGTACATTCTGTTTAATATATTTTTTAAATCTTGTATTAATAAAACTTTTAATTTTAGTTATTCTGTTAAACATAAGAGAACGAGATGTTGAAACTTACGTTATACAACTTTTACTCTTCTTTTATTTATTTATGACGAATTGATAAATATCAGTTCCGTGGCCTCTGTATCTAAGCCTCTGTGTTTCTCATTTCTTGACTTCATTTTTAATGTAGACATGTATGTTAAAGGTAATAGTCTGTGAAGAGTATCTTGGTTTGTGGCAACCAATTTATATTTTTCTGTCATTTTTAGATCTATAGTTTTTGCAATCTTTGTGTCTAGTTTCCTGTGCTTTTTTGGATGATTGTCCAATAGGAAGCAAATTTCTCATTATATCTCGATGAATAAGTAATTTGCGGATAAAATCTGGCATATAATATGGTTGGAGACTATTTACCTTGCAGTTTCCAAAATATAATTTTGAAATTTTTTGGGATTTATTGCTCGAAGAACGATATAGAATCGTTTTATTGAATTGATATTGCTCTAACTGAATGCAATTTAGGATCCTCGCGAAGTTGCGTTGATGAATAGAACGCATAAACGTGAATGCGACGCAGATGACTTTAAACAATAATATCTCGAAGAATCGGACGCGGATGGATATGATTCTTACATTATTATACAGAAGAAGATTCACTGAAAGATTCCTACTTGTTGAAGATATTGTCAAATGTAAAAAAATTTTCTAGTTTTTTCCATTCCGTTCAGTATTTTTTAAGAACATACCGTGTACTATAATCGTCAGCAAGAAATGTGATTTCTCACCAAGAAAGACCATCTTTTATCGTAGAAAAGAATTCGAGATAAAAAATTAAATACAGTTGTCGAATTAAATACATTTCAAAGAAGAAGAATCAAATTATTTGATCAGAATCGAGACTGTTTAC